AAAGTCGCCATAAAAATAAGTAGTAAAGTAAAAATATCAGAAAAATCTACTTGAGTACAGTAACGAAGTATTTGTACTTCGTTACTTCCCATCTCTGGTTTGAGGCCACATGATCAGACGCTCTCCCTAAGGATGCTTTCATCAGGCTCTCTGTGGCCTTCCTGTTCTTTGGTCAGCCTTTGTTGGACCTTGCTAAAGCCTGACCCAGGCAATGTCTTCGCCCTTGTCCCACCTGGGAAGGTTGCGGTTTTCATGGTTTCTCTCTTTCTGGATCCTGGTTCGCACAATAGTTTCCTGGAAGCCTAGAGGAACAGAAATGCTTTTATTGGCCAAAAGATGTTGGTGTTTTTCAGGATTCTTGTGTCGGTTGAGATATTTTAGTCTACTCTGTTATGTCAGACATATAAACAACCTAACTCATTTCAAAATGGCGGCGCCTGGACGCAGCGGCCTGATACGGCTCTCGACCATTCTATAAGATATGCCGTTCAGAACGTTACAAACCAGGCATTGATTCTGCATCTACAACCGCCGATTCCTGCTGGAGCTGCAGTCACAGAATGCTTTAAATACAGCCACCCTTGATTGGTGAAAAAGCTGTGGAGTGCTACAGACAGATGTTAACAAAACAGAGGGCTCACTGAGCAGGCCAGGCTGGAGGATGTGCCATACAGCGCAAGAGGGGCAGTGATTACTGCGAACGTGATGCTGGGACGACTCACCATCCGTCTTTAGACACAGTTTCTTTTTCTATTCTCATTTATTTATTTGTTGTTTTTTTTTAAGTTGACAGCATTATCTTTTTTGACCCTAGCAGTTGTTTCTGAAATGGCAGCATTAGTCCGTGCAGTTTTTTTTCCTGTGTTTTCAGTTAGGGTTAGGATTATTTTGATGCTAACTATAGTAAAGACATATTTTTATAATCCTATAATATTAGTTTGTTATGTTAATATTTAAAATAATTTAGTTTTCGTTGGTATTAAATTAAACATGACCTTTAGTTAATGTTTACAGTCAGGGTTAAAAGTTAAAATTTGTTCTTGTTTTTCTCTAAATATCTATTTTATAATCAGCCAGTTGTTACAGCCCTGATAACTGATGCGATGCATTTTAAAACACTTCGTCTGGTTTAAATCTAGAATCTTAAAAAATTCTAAGATCTTTAAAAAAAGAGCACATTACTTTAGCTTGGGTTATAAAATGTATGTGAAATATTTTCAATACTTTCATAATCTGAACAAGTTTGGCCTCAGAATGATCAGACTCCAGTGGTGGGAATCGTGTCAGTGTGCCGCTCAGCGGTGCATTAAATCCAGCATTTTGCTTTCCCCTTATCGCCTTTTTCACCCTGATAAAGCTGCAGAGGTGGAGCATCACGATCTCATTTTCTTCTGAGCATCATGACTCTCCAGCCTAATTCACAGTTCAGCCTGAGACACATTTTCCCTCACAGCTTTGCTCAACCCGAGGTCAGAGTGACTAAAGGCTGCTCGGCATTCATCAATGAACTACACGGCACGTTCAGAGCAGCGATTAGCTGATCTAAAGTCAGGTCTGTGCTTCTGCTGCAGGTCCTCTGCTGCCCAGGCAGTCAGGAGTAAAGAAACCCTCTGGTTGGCATTTAAAGAGAAACTGGGAAGCATCAGAAACTCATTTGAAATGTTAGCTCATACAACATTTCAAGGTTGTTTTGTTTTTTTTAAGCGCTACGCATGCTGCAGCCTGTTAAGTCGGCTCCACGTTCTCCTTTCCTACCTTTTTTCTACCTTATAATGTTTTTCTAATAGTGAATTCTGTATCTGATATTCTAAATTTGCACAGAGGAAGCCAACTTCTGGAACTATAGTGTTAAGCTTTCTCATACTTTTGGCACTTTTTGATGCTGCAGTGGAAGAGCCCAAACGGCCTAGTATCTACAGACAGGACCGGATCCTCGGACTACGAGACTCTATGCGCAAACTCATCTGCGCTGACAGGATTTTAGTGGAAAAAAGAGGAGGGGGGGGCTGGCGATACGTGAAGGAACAGATATCCTCCCTAGATGTGCAGCTACTCATGGTGAGAGCTGCATGTGAGCAGATCCACGGTGCAGTGACCAGGCTGCAGACACAGGACCCCCGCTCTCTCCTGCTCATAGCTCAGATCCTCCCTCCATTCCACCCTCCCCACACTCTGTACATCTCATGTAAAACAAAGGATAACAAAACCCTAGACCTCTTTTATGCAAACACCTCCACCCCCCCTCCCCCACTAGGAAGCTCGGATTGTATCCTTGCCTACCTGCTCACTCACTACACACCAGTGGTGAGAAGGACAATAGTGCAGAAGAAGTCAGTGAAAGTTTGGTCAGATGACTGAGAAACTGAAGGATTGTTTCACAAACATGGAGTGGAGCATGTTCCAATGCTTTCATGGTGATGACATCATCAGCCTGAGTGAATGTATCATTGACTAAGCGACCACCCCTGGGTGACTCCTGAGCTGAAAGTCCTCCTGAACCAGAAAAAAAGGGCTTTCAACTCCGGAGACATCTAATTAGAATATGAAGTCCAAACAAAACTTCCATTGACTGGTTGGAGTTTTGAAGTTTGTTTTGAGAGTGAAGTTTATCCTTCTTCCTAATATTTCTGTAAAGTCTAATATAGAAAAAAAGTTGAAGTCAACTCTTTCTTTGAATTTCAATAAAGTTAATAATGTAGGGCAATAATTCTATTATAAGGAGCCAAAAAACATGGAAACACCATCTTCTAATCTGTAGGGAGGAACCACAGTTGATTCCTCTTGTCTTCTTCTATCCTTTCTCTTTCATTTTGTGTCTTTGTAATTATTTTCTGTATTTCTTGAGTTACTCTCTTTTGCCCCCTTGTGTTGGTTTTCTTTCCTCTTGGCTCCCTTCTAGATAGTTCTATTCACACCTGCTCCATATCAGCTCATTAGCCCATCCTTTGTTCTGTTCCCCATTTATACACCACCTCTGCAGTTCCTCATTGCTGGTTTCTTGTTGCTTTGTTCCTTTCTCCTCTCTTTGCTCCCCACATGTTTCCCTGGTGTTTATTGGATTTTTTTGGTTTCCAGTATTTTGTATTTTCCTGGATTTTTGCCTGTGGGATCTTATAAAATCTGCAAACTAATCTCTGCCTCCTCATCCCTGTATTTGTGTCTTCTAAAACCTCCATACAAACCTTGACACCTCTTTCTGCTCCTTCAGCTGTGAATCCAAAGGTGAGGATGACACATTTCTCCTAGTGGACCAAAGTGGTTACTACTCCATTTAGACACTCCAAAGTTATTGGCATTGAATTATTTTTTACCATAAACATCCCAGCATAACTTCAGTGCTTTTCATTCAGTCTGATGTTTTTCAGCACAAAGCAACAGAATGAGCTGAGCCTTGGAGGGAAGTCAGAGCAGACTTGAATATATTGTGTTTGTAGGAGTGAAGGACGGACCAATGAAATGCTCTGCAATGCTCTGAGACCAGAGAGAGAGACGGATTCAGAACTCAGATTGTTTCTTCAGAGAGAGAAGAAAACCTTTCTGAAGCTTGAATGCTTGGGTACATTTCTGACAGAATCCAGGTGCTCAGGTGCATCATTTATCTGCAGCATGTATAAAGAAAGTTATCACTCATTTTCCATCCGCTGCCTGTGCCGTGATGCACAGCTCCATCCTCTTCTCCTCCGAGGATCAAATCCAAGCAGACATTTTCATCAGCAAATGTTCGGTGAAGGACAAGCACAGCAGCCAGCACTGGGATGTAGAGATGTGAACGGCGCCGGATGATTCCAGCCGCCTCCTCTGACTGACAACTGTGGGAGCAATAGAAACACACATGGAGAATAAGATGCAGACCTGGATGGATCATCTGATGGCTTCATTTAACCAAACATAAAGCAAGATGTTTCCTGTTCCTCAGAAGTAACTCCCTTTTAAAGACCTCTGTCTCAAACATCACTTTCCTGTTTTAGGCCCGTTGGGGTTCATCTGAGTTTGATAAATGTCAGAAGTTCAGGAAGAGGAGATTTCTACATGTTTTACATGTTTTTAGTCGGGAGTTTGACTTGGGCCAAAGATTCTTGGGGTGCCTGGGGAGCAGTGTGGGGTTCAGGGACTTTCTCGGGGACCCAGAGCGGCAGTCTGTGAGACTGGGGCTTGAACTCAGAACCTCAAGATTACAAGCTCTATGCCCTAACCACAGTTCAATTCAGTTTATTTATATAGCGCCAATTCACAACAAATGTCATCTCAAGGCACTTTACAGTTC